ATTTTCTTAAACCATTGGTATAAATTACCAGTGAATCCATCTGTGTTTTCTGTTCTAGAAGGTTATGTATTATTGATTCAATTTTTTAAACAGATAAAGACCTATTCTGATTGCCTATCATGTGATCTTCTCATACCTCTGCTGTGATAATTGTACTCCTCTTGTTAAGTTCTTTCAGTGACATCAGACTACCTCCCACGGCTGGCATAGGCCTTTCTGTCCATATGGTCTCTCCCCATTTCCACACCCTGCATATTTTACTACTTACATTTCCTCCAAAATATCAAGCTGTCGAAGTCCTATGCATTTACAAGGGCTTTACTATATTCCTAAAGCATCCTTTTCCAACTGTATTTTTTCTTTTTTTAAAGATTTATTTATTTATGCATACAAGAACTGGGGTGTAGGCCAGAGGTGGGGAGGATAAGAGGATTCACCAGAGACAGAGTGGGGAGCAGAACAGGCAGACCAGCTGAAATACACTGCTGAAGGGAGCAGCAGTCGAGACAGGAGAGATGTGGCTGAGTCATGTGGATCAGTTCACTGGCTGGAGATCAAACTGACGCTGCAATGGCTGCGGAGAACCTGTTGCACCACCAGGAAGAACCCTCCCACTGTATTTTTTCTAATAAACAGCTTCCTGAGAAAACCTTCCCTTATGTCCCCAGACAGTGAAGCTACCCCATTCAACTTGTGCAATAGAAAACCAAAAATATATATATTCTTTAAAACTAAAAACGGAATCCAAATTTTTAAACCATTATTTAAATATGTCAACGTCATCCAAGATGTCCAATGAAATAAGCTATAAAATACTGATCATAATTGGTGATTATGTCCTCATAAAATCAGTATCTAAGACAGACATATTTTGACAGAATCATCAAAGATACAAATACAAATTTCCATTTTAAGATAAAGGTTAATATATATATCAAGATTGAAGGCAGACTCATTTAGGTGTAGGCTTACATATATTCACTTTTGAGGAATGCATTATGAAATGCCAGTTTCTTTTGTTCCTTTTTATTTAGTCTGAAAGTTTAGAGCTGAAACTAGACAAATATAGACTTGGGCAAACAGGACCGCCATCTCTTAAAGCTTGTGAGACTTGGCCAAGTTATTAAACCCACTCTCAGTTTCTTCACAGGGAATAAAAAAACATAGTAATTGAAGTAATGGTAAATAATGGGAATAATATTTCTTGAATTACAAAAAATAATTTTATTATAAAAAATAATGTCTCCTACATAAGCTTTTGAGAAAGTTTTTTTTTTTTACCATGAATCCTTGGTTCTCTGAGAATAATAACCTGTTAAACAGAGAACCCATTGTCCAACATAGCTCCCCCTTATTAATTTTTTAATATATGTAATAGTTAATTTTTACAGCATTTTGTGCATTTTTCCATCTCATTTGCAATCTCCTTGGGCTTCCCATCACCAAATCCCAGGTGCCATCACCATAGTCCAGTGCATTTCCCTTTATTAATTTTTATAACTTTGACAAAATAGTAGAATATGGTAGGTACTAGATGAAGCAACATTTAGTAAGCCTAGCTGTTATTCAAAGCTTTAGCAACGTAATACTTCAGCAACATAAAGTGACCCTTCCTAATTTTATTAAAAATTAATCACATCTAGAAAAATAATCACTCAGAATGACAAGTTCCATTTTACTAGGAAACACAAATAGCTTTGAATATCACTGAGATGTGAAGGAGAGAAAACAGAAAAGACAGAAACTGGGATACACTACAGGCAGGTGGTGTCACGGAATGAATTGTCAGAATGTGAGTGCAGAATGTGACTATTTGAAGACAGGGTCTTTAAAGACGTAATTAAGTTAAAATGAGGTCATGAGGCTGGGCCCTAATCTATTATGACTTTCTGCTTCTAAAATGAGGGCATTTAGATACAGGCTAGTACAGAGGACATAGGAAGATGGCCAACTACAAATCAAGGAGAAAAGCCTAGAACAATCCTTCCCCAAGTCCCTTAGGAGAAACCCACTCTCGTGAACCCTGATGTGGGCCATCTAGCCTCCAGAAATGTAAGAAAAATAAACTCTGTTGTTTAAAGCCCTCCAGTTTGTGACTGTGGTATGGAAGACCTAGTAAACCAGGGCAAGGAATAATATAAGAGTGCACATTTGGAAGGAAATCCTGGGATATAAGCCCCATGGGTGCAAGAGATTTTGTCTTTTTGCCCATGGATGTATCCCAAACACTGAGAACAATGACTGACATGTAGCAGGTGTTCAGTAAATATTTGCAGCGTGAACTGATAAAGTAACTTGATAATTCTTCTCATAATTAATTTTATTAAATAACACCAATGCTTCAGTCATGCTTTTGATCTTCATAAGACCTGAAAACCTGTACTCCATGGGCTTTTACCAAGCTGTGGTGTAACCAGGTCTACTGCCATATATATAAAATGTATAATGTATAAAACATATACAGATGTATAAAATCTTCTGGTGAAATGTGTTAGGGTACAAATCCTGGAGTGATTTTCTGAAGAGAGGAGCTAAGAAGACAAAAACATTGCTGTGATCAATACATGTGAGTTAGTCCATACAGAGAAACAGATCAAATTTATTAGTCCTGGGAAAAATGCCAAACCAGAGGGGCTTGCTAGTATTGCTGTTCCCTCAAGAGTATCTGATTAGTTGACTTTACTGAAGACATTGAGAACAGCTGGATTCACCATTTAAAGGAAAAAAATAAATTAGGACTTTCCTGTTATTCTCATTAAAGCATTTGTGTGGACACAGGAAACAGCCTAATTAAATTTCCTCCTGTCTCATTCAATTAGGGATTCGTGTGCATGTCTGTCTTCAAACCCAAGTCCATGTCTTAGTATCATCACTCTTACCATCAATCAGTACTTAATGATAGCCTTGATTTACTAGGCAAATAACACAACACAAAATGTAAAAGAACTATGAAATATTTTATGCTCTGATTTTAATGATATGCAAATATCCTTTTATTAACAGGTAGCAGGGAAAATGCACCAAAATCACTGTCATTCTGTAATAATGTCTCTACTTTTCAGGCATAAATATCTCAAAATGAACAAAACACTAACTTCGAATCATTACTGGAAGAAAATTTAGGATTAGAAATTCCCCCAGACTATGCATAGGAAAGTCAGAATACAACAGTTTCATGAGCTAGTGAAATTGAACCTCTTAAAATCAAAATCTGAAAACTCTCATCCTACTTCCAGTCATTTTAAAAATCAAGTCAGAGCTTGTTCTCAGTTTGGGGCCTGGAATGAGCTCCAGAACTGATGCAATCTGAAACCAGAGCCAACAAGTGTTTACCAAAGTCTCTGTCCCAAAGGGAGAATCCTCTTTTCTAATTCTCCAGAAGTGATGCTGTTGGGATTGCCTTGAACAAAAAACAGCAAGGAGGAGAACAAACATTAAATTCATACCCTTTTCCTTTTCAGCAAAAAAGAAAACCCTGTCCTTTCTCATGAGAGGCAGTTTGTAACCACATTCTCCCCTACTGCAGGGCTTATGACTGCGGCTGCATTTCCTCCTCTTAGGAGAAGCAAGAGTCGATGCCACTGGGGCTTTATTTGTCGTGGAATGGAAAAAACGAAGCTGTGGATTTTCTCAAGAGTGATTTATAGATTAGACTCCCCTCCTTATCTTCTCCAGGCATAATACAGAGGGCCTGCCAAGCTGTACTCCACCCCAGCAAAATAGTTCTTTGCCAATGTCACTGGAAGTCAACTTGAGAGGTGTACATGGACGTTTCGGCCACTGGACAGTCTGCACCCCAAAGCTGAGATGATCAGCCACCTTAACACCTGTTACAGTTGTCTGTGCTTCTTTCTGTCCTATCAGCCACACACTTCCAGAGCACAAATCAGAAAAGCAACCACTTAGATTACCCAAACACCTCAAAGTGTGGAATAGTATACAACCAAATACAGAGCACATGAAGAAGACACGAGGGCTAGTACCTCACAAGGGAGAGCTCTGTGGTGGGGGTGCTTTAGGACTAGCTCTGCAGGGGACTGGCGTGGTGGTTATAGGACCCCCTGCGGGTGACAGAAGGGCATTGACCTGTACACACATCCTGTGCCAAAGTCAATATCCTGGCTCTGATACCACGGTGCGCTGAGAGGTCACTTGCTGGTGGAAACTGGGCAGGACACATAACCTCTCCTTGAGACTTCCTATGGCAGTATTTACTTCAGTGGGTACCTAGAACATTCTGCATTAGGTCTATTCGCAGAGAATAAAATAGAACCGGTTTTCCAATGTGGCATTCCAGCCACAAGCCGGGAAAGCTGGGGGGTGAGGGGGTTGGGGAAGTGGGTGCGGGACCAGCGCTGACTCATTCCTTCCTCTGCCTGGGACTCTCTTCCCGAAATCTCCTGCCCGCCTGTCCCCCTTCCCAGAATGACCTTTCAGTCACCTCTCAGCGCCACCTCTGCTGTTCTCGGTGTGATCTGCGGGACGAGCAGCTCCCGCCCTGACTTCAACTCCACGAGGCCGGGCACCATGCCTGCTCCCTCGTGCCGAACCCCCAACCTGGCGAACGCTGCTAGGCAGGTAGCAGGGGCTCGAAAAGAGACTTTGTGTGAACACTTGGAACTCACTTGACTCGGCTCCCTCCGGCTCGGGGAGGTCGCGTCCAGGGAGGGCGCCATCTTCCCCACTAATTCGTCCGCCCCGAAGGGCTCCCGGTCCTCCTTCGCACCTTTCCCTCCCACCAGCCCCTGAGCCCCGCCTCGCGGCCTCCGCTCCACCTCCCGGCACCGCAGCGTCAAGGGGACCGCACCTCAGGGGTGCAGTCCGGGCAGACCGCGCCCTCAGCCCGGGAGTCCGCGGCCCGCGCCCCGGAGGCTGCCGCGCGGGAGGAGCCGCTGGCGGAGGGGGCGTGTCCTCGAATCCCTGAGCGCTGATTGGCCGGGCTGCGGGGGCGGGGCCGCAGCCTGGGTCCCAGCCCCGGGTCCGCTCCAGGCGATCTTCGCCACTCGAGTTCGGACTTAGACGACGGCGACACCGCGGCGCGACTCCGGCTCGGCAGCATGGCTGAGAAGCGGCACACAGGGGATACCCACGCCCGGCGGGCCCCCGACTCCTTCAAGGGTGAGTCCCGCGCCGCTGGCCAGCCCCGGGGTGGCCCGCCCCCCTCTGCCGCTCCCCGCCCTCCGGGCTGCTGTGGCAGAGCGACCGTTGCTTGAAGCCGGTTTCCTCTCGCACGCTGAGAACAGCCGCCCCCCTTGGTGGGCTGGGGTCGGGCTTAGGGACGTTAGGGTGCAGGATGCACGGCTCCGTGCCCACCGCACAGGAGACGCGCCAAAAGCAGGGCGCCTTTTCCCTTACTCTAAGCCGTCGCGGGACTCGCGCTATCCCGAGGTTGCCAGATGCCAGGCTCTGTGCCAACGCTTTCCACTTTATTATCTCGTGTCTTGCACGCGGAACAAAAATGCATCTGTGACTCGCGGCTAGTGAGTGGTGGAGCCCGGGCGCAAACCTGCGCCCCACACCCGGCACCCCGCGTCCGCAGCCGACTCCCCTTTCCTTCCCGACCATCCTCTCCAAGACCATCTCCTTCATCCAGCCTTCGCCCCCTCCCCAAGTTAGCCCCCCAGCCCCGGATCTGGGAAGAACGCCTGTTCCCACGCCTCACCCATCCCATTTCATCCTAAGCAGCATCACCGACCTGTTGAAGGTTGGCCCCAGCTCCAGTCACAGTGAGCAGTCGTTGCGGGAGCGAAGGATATCTCCTTGTGCCTGTCCATATCGCTTCACTTTGTTTTTCCTTTTGCCCCCTTCACTCTACTACCTTAGTCCCAGGGACCTCGCAAGGTGCCAAGTTCCCCCACCCTCCTAGGGCCTTCTCGGTCTGAAGGCAGAAGCTGTGAGTGGCCCAGTCTTGCTGCCCTGTGAAAGAACCCTGAGAAGGCTATCAGCTGGAATCTTTAATGGCTAACTCCTTGGGGGGGGGGGGGGCTGAGGGAGTCCAGTAAGAAAGGTGATAAACCTCTCCAGAGGACTGTTTCCCTCCCTGAGGCTCTTAGTGATCCAAAGGAATTATTTCTAAGGGTGGAATTTCAGACAGGACAAAGTGAACGAAATTTAAGGGCTGGTGGGCCTTTCCAGCACCCCACAAAGAAGGGTACATTAGAGTCATGTGATTATTTGAAAACCAGTCTTGTCCATCCATCCAACATAAGTCCCATGTCTCTGCCCATATCTTTAATTCCTTTGCAGGAGCACCCAAAGAATTATGGAAATCGTATCACTCTGCTCCACTAACCTGATTTGGAGTTAATACTCACTCTACATCAGGAGTAGAAGAGGGAGGAGTTGATGAGAACAACAGAAAAAAAAATTGAGTGATATGTATTTTACTTATGTTAATTTATTAAATCCTCACAGCAGATGGTGTGGTAGCTATTGTCCTTTCCCCATTTATGCTTGAAGAAACTGGTACTCAAACAGGTGATGTCACATAAGAGTGATACAGTTTATAAGTAATGGAGCCTTATTTTAAGTCTGGACTTTGAATACTTCAAATACTGACTTTAAAGCTTGAACCTGCAAATGTGGTGAAGTCCCCCTCTTTGCTAGCTGAGTTTTCCTAGATAGGAAGTAGGCAGGGTCCTTCCCTCTGTGTCTTAACCTCCTGGTGGGACACTGGAGGACTGTAAGGACCATCTTAAACGTTTGATGGAACTGCAGTGGGAAATCTGTTTGAGGTCTGTAGGAATTAACATGTACTTAATGATCATTTGGTTGTTTTTCATGGTCACAGGCCAGGTTTCACTTCTAAGTTCTTTTTTTTTTTGGTACTACACATAATATCTCTTTTAGACAGAAATCTTAAGAATCTAATGAAAACTGAATACCTGCTCAGAAAATTAGATATATATATATGTATGCGTGTGTGTGTATGTATCACTCCTTGGTGTGTATCACTTTTTTTTTTTTTCCTTAATGTTAACCTCCACTCTGACACTGGTAAGAAAGCAACTACAATTGCTAGAACTTGTTAAATAGAATTTACAGAATGCTTGTCATGGGCTGAACTCAGGGCGATATACAAACATTATCTGTTTGTAGTCCTCTAATAGCCCCAGAAGGAAGAAGTCAGCATCAAGATGGATTCTGTATCTTATTTGTGTGATTTTGTGCAATAAAGATAGTTAATCACCAGATGGGATAAAAATTTTTAGGTGCTATCATTAAGGTCCAAGTATACTGCTTATGAAATTGATCCATTTACCATCTATTTCTCACTCTATTCAGCATATGCTGTCAGGTGCTATGAGGATTCAAACAAGAGTAAGATATAGGCATCTTCAGATACCTTGTACTTGATTGGGAATTTACATATATAAAAACAATACATATTATTATATTCTTAGGCATGCAAGAAAACTATCAGACAGAAAAAAGGGCAGGGCGGAATGTCTTTGTCCGCCACTTCACAGTCAGGAAGCTGAGGCTCACAGTGGAAGAATCACACAGAACTGGGTGTGATTAGGAGTTAGGCTTCAAACCTGGGCTCTCTGATCTTCTGAATCAGTTTTCATACCTTAGAGCTACTTCCAAGGTGCACAGCCAAATGGAGGAGCTCGTCAAACACTGGCACTTCCCTGAAGGTGAGAGAGAATAAACAATGAAAGCCCAGGGGAACCCAGCTTCAGTCAAGACTCTTGGACAGCACAGCTGCAGAGGGCCCCTTTGCAGAAAGCAGTGGAGAATAAAAGTCCAAACTCTGTCCCTTTGTACTTTTGCTGGTTATTATTCTGAGGAACATAAATATAGGCAAACCTTAGAAAGAGTCTTTTTCCTTAAAGCCAGTTCATTCACTTTGTAATGAAATAATGCAGGTAGAATACAAAGAAATGTATTATTATAATTAAGAGTCATGTCAACAGAATAGATCCCTCTGGGAAAATGCCTGAAAATAAGCAGAATCATGGGACTGATTTGTTTATTTCAGTTCTTACAGCCTATGAGATTGGAGAGAACTTTTTAACTTCCTTAATAACTAATCTGAGTTAAACCATTAATGGTTAAGCATAAACAAACACAAACTGACAAGCAAGTCTACAAAAGCTGGCATTTGTGTATTTTGTTTATGATTAAATAGATTCTTGGTCCTACCTAACCTGTAAATTTTGCACTGTAAAAGACAAAATCACTTGGAGTGATTGGAATGCCTAGCTCAGAAGGAAGACAAAATTTAATGCTGATAAAGTGAGAGACTGTGTTCAAAATCTACCGTTTAAGAAGGTGTGGAAACATTTTCCTAAAAGCTATTCTATAAAAGTGAGCACCTCTCTTCTGTGTCTGCCTGGCATCCTCTACAGACCTCCATCTATCTTAAGGCTTATTGCACAGTATTCTCATTATCAGTTGACTCATGTGTCAAATGATGTGCTACCCATTATTTTAGACCAGTGAGCTTTTGAAAGCAGAGATGCTGCTCTTCCTCACTGAAATAAACTCACTGAAATAAACTCAGCTACCCAGTAGGTTTGTAAAACTGTTCTTTTAAAGAAAAAGGCAGCAGAGGAGGGAAGTAGAGACCCCAGCCCTGATGGGCTAAATCACAATGTTATGTGCTTGACTTATGATGGTGGAGAATCTTTCTGCATTCATTGTATTGAGTCTGCTATAATCAGGTTGTTGATTTTAGGGTGTGAGCCTCATGTTCCTCCTTACATGTAGACTGGTACATGCTGTCTGTCTAGGTTTATGTGATGAATGAAGGGATTGTAATGTCAAGAAAATATATTGTACATGATAAGGGATTTGCATTTATTAAAATGTGGAAAGTGAAGGTAAAGGTCATGGCCAGTAGAAAGAAGGGCCTGTGTGGCCTGGCCGTGCTCCAGTTCTCTAGGAGTGGGTGCTCACGCACACAACTCCTCCGCTCTTTTTGAATCTGTATCAGAACTCCGGGTATCAGAACTCCGGGACCAGGAAGGAAACTGAACACCAAGCGCATGTCCTGACATTTCAGTGATGGACCTTGAAGACAAAACCAATAAAATGTCCTATAGTGTCAGATGGTGAAAATTACACCAACTCTGTTGTCTAGTTGTGAATGTGCATTTAGGGTGAGATGGTATAATTCAGTGGCACAAGAGCAGAATTGAATGGAGACGTCTACCATCATGTTTTACCTGGGTCACGTTGGGGAAGGGTTCCAGAGGCAACACCTCAACCACATGTTGGGTGTAATCTTACTGCAGTAGATATATCCCAAGGTTTTGAGTATCCAATAAGAAAATGTATGTGACTTTACTTCTGTAGCTTTAAAATAGAAGTGATTGGTGTTATTTAAATGACGAGCATACAATCTTGTGGATGGTTCAAGACAGCTTAGAATTCTGTTTTTCCACCCAAATGTGGTCTGTTTCTCCTCAGAGACAGAGTCTCTGAGCAGATTATTCATCTTGGTATTTTTTCTGTGACAGATCCCAAAAGGCAATTCACTTAACATAAAATTTTGCTATAAATTAATTAATAGTGGTCATAAAGTTGCTATAATAATAATAGCTATTATTTATCGAGCACTTTCTAAGTGCCAATACCTTACACCTTTTAACTTTTAATCTAGTTAATATCTAGAATAACTGCATGAGATAAGTGGCAACTGGGAGATGTAACCCTACCTGACCGGAAACTCCAAGCTCTTAGCTACTGCTTAGCTGTTTGGCCTCAGCAGAAGAATTAGCAACGTTATACTCTAGTTTTCTTATACTTCCTGTTTCCTTTTTTTTTTTTATTAAAATGATGTCACCTTCAAAGAATTTTGAAAAAAAAAAAAAAACTTAAATGTAGATACTTTTAAGATATTAAAGTAAAAAGAACTGAGGAGTGAGGGAGGCGTTCCTGCTCAAGTAGGAGTTTGTTTTGTTTTAATATTTTAGTATTTCAGGTCCAATCTAACCCTAATTAACTTAATACTGTTGTGAAATTGTTTTTCCCTCCAATGTCTCAGAATGTAACTACTTTTATTTTTCCAGCTACAGGCCGTGTTCAGCACGTCCTCTGCCTTCCTGTATTCTCTTAACCTCGTGGGTGATTTTTAAAAAGACAGCAGTATGGCAGCTGCTTTGGGACAG